ATATATATATAGAAGGTTGTATACATGCATTCGTACACAGATCTACTGACGATCAATTGATATAGTAGTATGAATGCCAGTCTCCCAAGTATACCCTCGGACACACACGGAAGTAGCGCTATACCTGGTAATTAGGCCCCACGTGTGTGATGCCAGATTTGTGGGACACCATAACTCCGCCTGGATAGTACTTCCCATTTTGATCGTGGAAGCCTCGTGACCAGTGAATTACATGGCTGTGTTTGCCAGATGCCGTATCCCGCTGCGAGACATCGAGGATACCCTCTGTGTGATTAAAACGAAAGGTGTATTTGCAGATTAAAAATAAAATGGGGAGCGGGCAAATACGAGGGGCGATGGATAGCAGGTGTATGTTGAAGTAGAACAGAATGTTTGATACGAACAGTATTGGTGACACAGGCAAAGGTCATTGGTTCATGATAGTGCTGAATAAAAGTAAAAAGAAGAGACGTGTATACTTTCCGACGATGCCAGTGCTGAATAAAAGTAAAAAGAAGGGACGGGCATACTTTCCGACGATGCCATCAGCTATAAAAGAACCGAACGTGCTATATTTACAGAAGCATACTAGCAGATGATAACTATTAAATGACTAAATGGTGTTATGGATGATGAGTTTAGAAACAAAACAATGGCTCAGAAAATCGTAAACTATCGGATTAAAGCGATAATTTACTTGTACGCCATAATCAGCACATAATATATATATATATATATATATATATATATATATATTATGTATTTCATATATATATATACATATGAAGTTAAAGATTAAAGATAAAGATAAAGATAAAGTTAGAGATATATATATATAATAGATAATATATATAAATATAGCAACATACTGTTCTCTGTATCACTTGGATCTTCACTATCTCCTCCAGGTACAACCATCACACTCGGCCCCTCGCCTGAATGCTCCCCATCTGTTTTGCTCAGGTCTTCTTCTGGGTGTTCCTGTGCCTTATCGGCATCTCCCACCACACCAGCACTCGTCTCCTCCACATCCACATCCATCTCATCTTTCACTTCTTCCTCTATCTCACCCACGCTGCCTGCCTGTGCCTGTGTTTCACTTGCTTCGGGTACATGCCCACTATCCTCCTCTACCTCTGTCTCCATCTCCACTGTGTTTATATCTGCCTCTCCCGCGATCGTTCCCTCTCCAACATCTCTCACATCCGCCTCCAGGGACACGGACGCACTCACCCCAGTCACAGGCGTGTGCGCTGGTGGCTGCGACCTCAACTCTGGGCGTGTATACGCTCGAGACTGTGGCCTGCTCTGTCTCAGGCGCGAGTTTGGTCGCGAGTGCCAGGCTACGCCTCCTTTCCGATTCAGCGCGTGTTCGCGTCGCTGTCTGGCTTCGTCCGCTGCTTGTGCAAGCGCTAGCGCGTGCGTAGTCGAGACTCCAGGCGCGTGTGTGCGCATCTCTCCTTGGAGATGCGTGTTGCTGTCACCGATGTTGTAGCTGCTGGTGTTACCCAGTTTGTAGACGGGACGATCGTGTGGCGTGAGCTGAATACCCTGGAGGAGAGTATGAATATATTGATAGGTGAGTATGTATATATTGATAGGTGAGTAGAATAAAAGAGGGTGGGAGTGTATATGCGTATGAGTATGTGATAGCTGACTACCGCATTAATACTTGTTTTCAAATAAATAATATATTTACAAACAACTCAACGTTCCATTAAGACGTACATTACTGCCCAATGATTGTTTTCCAACGTCCAGGTCTTTGGCGCGTTGTCTCTGGTTCTGCTCACACATCAGCGCCCTTTGTGCATGGTGGTAGTCTGATATGGGACCGCCCAATTCTCCAGTGACATCGGCCTGCAGGAATGGACGTTGAATAGATGTTGAATATAAGCAGGATGTGTTTGTATCTTCATATGACTATACACACAGAATGGAGCCAACAAAGACCGTGAAGAGGGTGGCCACCATAGGTACAACTGTACCACTTTCGGTATAAGTTCAGATCGGAGAAGGATAAGTCTCAAGCAGAAAGAGAACCTACACACTGCAACTTACGTAGAGTAGCTCGGCATCAGTCCTTTTTCTGACTTTGCCACTGTGATCAGTCACCGATGCAACGCCGTTCGGAGAGTGAGCAGCACTCCCCAGTCCTGTGATAGCAACAGAGCAAGTATGTTTAGAGGTGCTTTAACTGTCTTCTATCTATGTGCGCGTTCGAGTCTTTATATATACATGTATGTATGTGTGTGTGTATATTTTTTAGGTGAGTGAGTGCGAGAAAAATATAAAGAGTCAGTGTCGTGTGTGGAGAGGGAGGGGGGGGTTTGAAATGAGATGTGTCTCACGAGAAGTACGCGAACTTTAGTTTTCTACGCGCGGTCTCTACGAACTACGAAGCTAATGTCTACGTTTTTTGATGTGTGGGGTACGTTTTATGGTGATATTCATATGCACAAGAATCAATGTATGTATATGTTGTCTATCTTTTGACGTGTAATGTTTAATGGTTCGCATCCACACTATCACGTTAATCATGTTATTATATATACATATTATTTGCGCTGGAAATGGTCCTAGTTTGAGGCCTAGGTCATGACTGCCGTGTCTTGGTGGGATGCTAAGTTTGTCTCCTCCATAAGTAAAATAATATTTGATCGTGAGCACTCCTTCAGCCCAGAGCAGACGGACTAAATATACGAACCACGTGAGAAAATAAGCTGTACATCTAGACCCACCTGCGGAGGTACAGGGTTGTAAGCGGTTACCCTCTTTTGGCTGTTGCGAATACGGAGAAGACTTGAAGGTGTGTTCTGTTGTAATTACGTATATTATTAGACACATTAGACATAAAACAAAGCTATCCGACAAACATCGTTACTTCTGGATCATACACATGTAAGCTCCCATACCAGCGCATTGGTCTCGACACCCATTTTCATATATATTCAAATACACAGATATATCCGTTTGATGCTCACCCACCCATACCAGCATTTTGATAAGACCCGTCTTATGGAACATACATGTTAGCAGCCCAAGGTATCAAATAAACACCTCTATTTGAACACGTACAGAAACACCTACGTTTGATGTTGATCCTGCCCATGCCCGGGAACATGTTCTTCTTGCGGGGGGACGCCTTCTCGCTGCTGTTCGGTGCACTCTCGAGCCCATTGCCCACCACACCTTTGCGCGGCTTGTACTGAGCATTCAGCGGATTCGGCAAACCCGGTGGCTGTGCTGGGGGCTGTGCTTGGGTGTTCGTACCTACACCCCTCGAAAGACCCTTCTCGGTTTCAATATAGGCCCCCCTCTCTCGCACCAGTCCCGATGAGTCATTCCTCCATCGCCGTTGTGCTGCTCCTGGGTATTCCGTCGGTGTCTGCGTCTGCGTAAATTCGCCCATGTCTCCACCCGCACCCGCACCCGCACCCGCACCCGCACCCGCACCCGCACCCGCACCCGCACCCGACCCGCTATACATCCCGGTATTGTCTACCTCGGCATCCCTACCCCTCGACCATCCAGCCGCACCAACTGGCTCGTCTACACCCCCCGACCACTCTGGGCCAGAACCCTTCAAGCCTTCACTCACTGCTGTGGTGCCCAGTACACTCAGCGGCCGTCCCAGTCCATTGTTGGAGATCGGCTGTACACTGCTAGGCCGTCCCGGCGCACTCTCCAGTCGTCCAAAGCGTGCGTGGGGGTTGTCCATGTTGTTGCTAGTGCCTGTGTGCCTACGCGGCATTGCGTCAGAGCCCCTGGGTGCATTGGCGGGTGCGTCTGGGTATGCTTCGTCCGCGTCCCCGTATGGGTGACGTGTGTCGGCATAGGGCGTGCGTGCACCCGCATACGCCATGCCGGCCCGTGCATAGCCGCCGCCTCGGTCAGCATATGCAGTGTCTGTGTCTGCGTACGCATGTATGTCCGCAGCACCCCCTCTGTCGCGCCCACCAACACTCATGCCTTCCACTGAGCGGGAGAATAGCGCTTTGGCATCTGGCATACGAGAGTCCGGCAGACGTCCCTTGGCAGGCGAGGTCCGCTCGATTCCGGGCGACAAAACGCCAGCTGCTGCCGATTCCCTGCCCATATTGGGCAAGCTGTGTCCCAAATTTGGCGATATGCGCGCCAGACTGGGAGACTTCCGGCCCATTCCACGGAATCTACCTCCTACATCGGTTGTATCTTCTCGATGCAACCCTCCCACACCCTCACCAGCGCCTTCCCCCATGTCCATGTGTGGACTCCGTGCAGCCGCACGAGCAGGACTTCGGGCCGAATTTGGCCCCATTTGCGCATGGCCCGCAACAAGCGGATTCTGGGACACATGCGCATCGTTTTTGATCTCCAGCTCTCCCGTAGAGCTACTTCGCGAAAGACGCTCTGCCCCAATGCTATGCGGGTGCAGGCGCTGTAAGTGCGACTCCTTGCCAACTGGCGGCTTTCCTAATAAGGGCTTGCCTAATGGGGGTTGGTCTATTCCGCGGCTGCGCAGTGGCTGCAGCGGTGCCGGTAGTGGCGGCGAGTGCGCCAACGGGCCCCTCTGTGCCACCGCCGGTCGCATTTCGCGCAGGTTGTGCGCATTACGTGTTCTATTTATAGCCTCCCGCTCATATGCCGTATGTCTATTTATAGCATCTCTGACTGTGGCGTGTGCGTCATACATGCCTTCCTGTCGTGGGCCCCGTGGCCCAGCGCCCGGAGCATCCCTCCACCTGCCATCGTCGCCATGGTTACGGTTTCTCGATAGCGTGTCTTCACTATTCGCAGCATTGTAGTATTCACTCCCATACACCTCTCTAGCACTGTGCTCACCCTCGCCGTGCGTCTCAGCCATAGACTGGCGGAGGTCATTGGTACTTCTACGCGGGTGTTCAGCAAATGGGTTAAACATCTCACTACTGCGGCGCTGTGTAGTGCTAGCACTCTCAACACCCACACCCGCCTCGGCAGCCATGGCCCGATCAGGGTCATTCATCGCTCTTTGGGGGTCTTCAAAGAGGCTGAATTTAGACGTTTTGTCACGCCATGACGTCGTCATCTCCCCACTCGCATCGGCATACTCGTCGCGCGGCCCATTAAAACTCGGCCCTGACGCGCTCTCGCGCCGCGATTTTATATCCGCACCAAGATGATTGGGTTTTATCGCCGCACCAATCGGATTCCGCGGATACAGCTGCTGGGACTGTCGGCTCCGTAGCACGTGGGCGTCGTCCAGATCGCCTCTGCCACGTGCCTGCGATGTTGCTGAGCTTGTACTGTTGCGTACAAGGCTGTTAGTACTCCCCGCGTGTGTGCTCTTGAGCGTGGCTCGTCTGCTGCTGTTGGTGCCTGTGGCATGGTAGTCGTTGAAGCCACCACCATCGGGCGAGGATTCGCCACCTGCACACGCAAACGGGTCGTGGGAGATGGGCGTATGCGTTGGTATTAGTGTTTCTGAGATGGGAGATCTGGTTATTGCACAGCAAACTGCCTATGGGGACGGCTAGATACATGTATGTAGATATCTAGTATTGGCGCATATCAGCGACCTATATGTTGCGATCCAGTACATATCCCGTGCGTGACTTAATATAATAAGACTATAAGCCATTGTACTGTTTGTATGCTTGTATAGTCGTGCACTAGAGTATAAGATATAACACACATCACGTGCACCCTATGTAGACCTGCCTTGTTCATTCCCCGCTCTTTTGCTACCCGCATTGAGCTTCTCCACAGATTCTGACCCTGCGATCTCTGGCTGCCCGTCATCGTACAGCAAATGGCAACTCTCATAATGTTTCCTGTCGGACGAAAAGTTAGAAATAAACACAGGGTGACGTCAAAACAATGTGTGAAAACAGAACAAGGCTAGAGCTCACGCGTGGCTTGTACGAATATGATGCGCTGCCAGCACAGCAACACAGCCGACTCTGTGACCTTGCGAATACGTGTAAAATGGGGCAAGTTGAAAGCACTCAGAAGCACTCAGAAGCACTCAGAAAGAAGCACTCAGGAGCACGCTACAAACGCATGATCACAAAATGCGCACGTGACGACACATTGACGCACGTATGATTACCCCGACCCCGCATACAATGAGATAAGGATCAACTAGACATTCGCTTACTTTTCTTCAAAGTACAAAAAAAAAATTCTCAAACACATATAGAGCACAGTTGACCAATATTCGACCCTCACGGCGTTGTTAACGACACACGAACACACTTGGTACTCACCTGAGTTGGCGTTTCTCCTTGTACCGCTTCATGCACAGCCCAATCTTGCACACGTACGGCCGGTCCACTGTGTGTGCGAGAGGCAGGGTAGTGATTTGAATACGTGCACATATATGAGCGAATAGTAAATGCGTGAGGTTGCGCGCAAGCATGTATATGGAGGTGGGTAGTGAAGGAGGGTAGTGAAGTATGCGTATAATTGAGGACAAAAAAGTCTATAGTAAGTTTTTGAGATTCATACCCCTTTATGGGTGTGTGTAGGTAAATAAGTCTGCATGCGGAGAAGTGTTCGGATCAGCGCACGGTCGTACGTTTAAACTCATGGGTATCCATCAGGGTAGGAGTGCCAGAGTGTCGGTGTCGCATGCACCCCGTATACACCTACGATATGAAGCGCGGGAACAATTGGTCGGTATGAACAGAGGTGTTGTGGTTTTTACTCAAGGCTCTTACACGTGTAGAAACAAAGGACTTAATAAATCGACGCGGTTAAAACGTGCGTACTCACATCAATACGAACACATGTTTTAATACAAACCACATTTCAGGAGAAAACAGACGAGTATATGCATACAATTACTTACGAGTATATGCATACAAATACGAATGATAGCAAACAAAAACCCACGCGAGAAACCAAGCACACGAACGTAAACATATAGACATACGCCGATGGTTCTCGTGTGAACACTTTCAACTACCGCCAGATTGGTACAGCTGCTTGTGGGCGTAAAAGCATGCAAGCAAGCACATGCACACGCGTGAGCATATACGCCGATGCGGTGTATGAGGTGAGACAATCGACTCATTTGACGAAGTTAATATAATGCGGACACGCGTGCGAATATCTGCTTGTAGAGACATGCACCAGTAGTTTAAAAACATACACAATTACGTCTTCAGACACACACACAATTGCATGTATACCCACATGCAGACAAGCACACACATGTACACGCATACGCACAGGAGGAGGGCACACACTTACGCACACGAGAAAGGCACACACATACGCACAATCACACATGCACACAAGTGCACATACGTCTATGAGTCATGGTATGCGAGGTGAGATGGTCGACTCTTTTGAAGGACTTGTTGCAATCCGGACATGTGTGGGGCCGGATGTCGGAGTGTGAAGTCATGTGCTTGTTGAGACTGCTTTGATTGAGGAAATCCTTCGAGCAGAACCTACAGACCAAGCTATTCTGCAGAAGGAAAAAGAGAGGCATAAGATTAAATAAACGTGTTAATTCAGGGGATGGGAATAATTGAAAGACAAAAGAAGGATATGATAGGCAAATCTACACGAGGGCATGTGGACACAGGAGCAAGGACAAACAAACTTCGGGTCCAGACGCAGAAACAAGGAGAGCACAGACCATTACAGGTATTCCGCAAAGAATGGGGTATACACGGCTATAGAGGAGCAACCCTCCCATACGACTTACCGTGCTCACAGAGGTGGAGGCTACGCCTCCTGTGTTAGTCCGGGTGAGGCTATCCGATGCCTTGACCTTCAGAGCCGCCTAGTGGTATAAGCACAGGTGTTTAAAGTATTCGTTAGACAGTTGCACAACATGTCTGACCGCCTCGTGAGTGATAAGACATATGGGCTATGCCGTTACTAGACAGTTGAAAATCCTGACGTGGAGTGTGTGGTGCACTCGTCAGAGTGTCTATAGTACACCAGTTGTCGGACAAGTTTGTGTTCAATAGCTTCCAGTACACACCAGTAGTGGCTCAATTCCTTGTTCTGCAAAGAAAATTATGATCATATTTCCTGCTTTTCCAAGACGAATTTCTAATACTTTTTTAGGCATATACCCTTAATTGGGAGGGATAAGTTTACATACTGAGTAGAAACTGCTTCACCACCCCAACAACTTCACAAACGTTCAAATGGACATACATTTGTTCTCAAACTACATCTCATACTTGGTGAAGTACATGCATTATTTACAAATACGACACAAGCATCGGACAAGAGAGTGGATGAAAGGTACCTTGTCCGACACCGACTCCTGCTGTGGACCTGATGGTTCGCCTGCATTACTGCCCCTGGTTAATTGTTCACTATCAGGTCTTGACCTGCTAACGGATTGCGCGGTGCTCTTACGGCTGAGAACTGGGGACTCAGGAGCTATGCGAATTGGGGATATGGTGATTGTAGAGGATACATTAGGATTTTCATGTACATACATAGGAATGTGTGCCAATTTATAACCAACCTTAGGATTTACAAGTAGATACATAGGAATGTGTGTTAATTTACAACCAACCTTAGGATTTCCATGTAGATACATAGGAATGTGGGTCAATTTATAGCCAACCTTAGGATTTACATGTAGATACATAGGAATGTGCGCCAATTTATAACCAACCTTAGGATTTGCATGTAGACACATAAGAATGTGTGTCAATTTATAATCAACCTTAGGATTTACATGTAGATACATAGGAATGTGCGTCAATTTATAACCAACCTTAGGATTTACATGTAGATACATAGGAATGTGCGTCAATTTATAACCAACCTTAGGGTTTACATGTAGATACATAGGAATGTGTGTCAGTTTATAATCAACCTTAGGATTTACATGTAGATACATTGGAATGTGTGTCAAATTATAACCAACCTTAGGATTTACATGTAGATACATAGGAATGTGTGTCAATTTATAACCAACCTTAGGATTTACATGTAAATCCATAGGAATGTGTGTCAATTTATAACCAACCTTAGGATTTACATGTAGACACAGGAATGTGTGTCAATTTATAATCAACCTTAGGATATACTTGTAGATACAAAGGAATGTGTGTCAATTTATAACCAATCTTAGGATTTCCATGTAGATACATAGGAATATGTGTCAATTTATAATCAACCTTAGGATTTACATGTAGATACATAGCAAAGTGTGTCAATTTATAACCAACCTTAGGATTTACATGTAGTTACATAGGAATGTGTGTCAATTTATATTCAACCTTAGGATTTACATGTAGATACATTGGAATGTGTGTCAATTTATAATCAACCTTAGGATTTACATGTAGATACATAGGAATGTGTGTCAATTTATAACCAACCTCAGGATTTACATGTAGATACATAGGAATGTGTGTCAATTTATAATCAACCTTAGGATTTACATGTAGATACATAGGAATATGTGTCAATTTAAAATCAAACAAGAAAGTAGCCGCGTCAATATTTATAATAAGTACAATTGTTTTTTCTTTATATATATATATATTTATATAAATATTTATATATATATATACATTTATATATTTATGTTTATATTGTTTGGAAAGCTTTTTTATGAAAATAGTCAGCCAATTCTCCCAGCGCAAATCATATCTTATGCACATGTCCCCACATAGAGACACGCACAAAACACTCACACGAATACACACAGATAAGCCAATGGATGGCGGAGGTAGCGATCAAAGAGATGGCCAAGCTAGGGCTATCCGTACGTGTGCAGAACCAGCTTACTAAAAAGTTGCCCACCAGCGCAACGGTATACCGCATGCCTCCTATCAACCGGACACGTCTTTACTCATGTACAACCATGCATGAGAACCTGTACACTTCACCACCCAAGCTAACAACCTATTACACGTTCCCGCCGAATTGCCTTCAAGCAGTAACAAACATACCGGGTTCTTTCCGCATCGAGCCACAACCGAACCCAGACTGTGTATGAGGTGCATTCGGATTACCGTTGGTCTCAGCTTCGCCCGACTCTTGATTTTGCCCCATTTTATAGATCGGTCTGGTATTCGATTGGCCGGTGGCTGGATCGATGCCTGAAGCAGCGCCCTATTGCGATGAAGGAATATTTATGGCATGAGCGACTTGAAATTATAGTATGTAAACATATGTATTCCTGCTTGTATGTATATATGGACATAAATACAAGAGAATAAACTGTAACCAATGCAGCAAACGCGAAGTATAACACAAGAGTTATACACAAAAATAAAACTAAACAAACTAGATCGATGCATGGTCATGTCACCCTCCGTAAGTACAAATCGGTTCGGAAGATTACGATATGGATCACAAGACACATAAATTGATGAATGTCTACTTCGAAAACGGTAACCACTATATGCATATATGAATA